TGGTATAAGCTCTAAGATCTTGCTTTTCCTTTCTTTTTTTTTTAGGTTAGTCATGGAGCTTGAACTCTGGGCCTGGGCACTGTCCCTGAGCTCTTCACCTTAAGGTGCACACTCTACCACTTGAGCTACAGTGCCACTTCCAGTTTTCTGGTGGTTGATTGGAGATAAGAGTCTCACAGACTTTCCTGGCTTGGTTGGCTTTGAACTGTGATGCTCAGATCTTAGCCTCCTGAGTAGTTAGGATTACAGGTGTGAGCCACGGGCACCCAGCTTTTTCCTTTCTTTTCTAGCTTCCCTCCAGTTCCCTGAACCAGCTATATAGGAGATAATGGAAAATTCCAATGGCAAAATTACTCTCTTCCTCCTCCTTCTCCTCCTCTTCCTCCTCCTCCTCCTCCTCCTCCTCCTCCTCCTCCTCATCTCCTTCTCTTCTTCTTCCTCCTTCTTTTGCCAGTCCTGGGGCTTGAATTCAGGGCCTGGGCACTGTCCCTGAGCTTCTTTGGCTCAAGGCTAGCACTCTACCACTTGAGCCACAGCGGCACTTCTGGCTTTTTCTATGTATGTGGTACTGTGGAATCGAACCCAGTGCTTCATGCATCCTAGGCAAGCACTCTACCACTGAGCCACATTATGTTTTTCCTGAGTACAAAAAGTTAACTCAGTGAGGGGATGGTGTCAATGAAAGGAGCAGGTTTCCTTGGGTTTGTGCAGTCTCATCCAAATAAACAGGTGAGTCCACCTGGAAACTTTCTCCTCACAACTCTATGAATTCATGAAATACATATTGCTGTCATTACAGGGTGAGTCTCAAACCCGCAAGGGAATTCCCTGTGGGGAGCCAGAAGGCAGTGTGGTGTGCAGTTCCCCACAATGATTTACCACCAGGGGGCGCTCCCAGCTGGTCTCTATCCTCAAGGTAGCTAAGAGGAGTAATTCCCAGCCCTAGCAGGAGGCAGATGTGACTAGCTTGGACCTGAAGGTCTGTGACCTGGAAGGGTGAGGTGGCAGTACCGGTCCTTTCCCCTAAGTTGGGCTATTTACATTTGTCTTTTCCCTCACCTACCATGCCCGTCATCAATAATGTCAAAATGCTGAGACAGAGCGGGGCACTGGTGGCTCACACCTGTAATCCTAGCTACTCAGGAGGCTGAGATCTGAGTATCACGTTCAAAGCCAGCCCAGGCAGTGAAGTCTCTGAGACTCTTTTTTTTGGGGGGGGGGTCTGGTTGTGGGGCCTGAACTCTGAGCCTGGGCGCTGTCCCTCAGCTCTTCAGCTCAAGGCTAGCGCTCTACCACTTGAGCCACAGTGCCACTTCCAGCTTTTTTCTTTTTTGCTGAGGAATCGAACCCAGGGCCTCATGCATGCAAGGCAAGCGCTCTACCACTGAGCCACCTTCCCAGCCCCTCTGACACTATCTCCAATTAACTACTAGAAAACTGGAAGTGATGCTGTGGCTCAAGTGGTAGAGCACTAACTTTGAGCTGAAGAGCTCAGGGATAGTGCCCAGGCTCAGAGTTCAAGCCCCACAACCAACAAAAAACCAAAACCAACCAAACAACAACAACAAAAGCCTCCTAAGACCTCTCCTATGGTCCACTCTAGAGCCCTGCCTGCAAGGTGTTGGAGAGAGGTCTATCTAGCATTCTACTGCCACCCAGAAGGGATGCCCAACCATTCAGAACCATTCTGTTCCCCTTGGACAATGATCTTACTTATCCTCTATTGGGGAAGAGCTAGGAAAGGGCTTAGGATCTGCCTCAGTGGAGCCCTCCATAGTGAACCAAGCTGTTTTTCCTGAACACATCCTAATCTTTTAGGGAACCATATTGAGTCCTGTGAACGATTCTCACACATCCCACCAGCCATGAGCACCCTGGTCTACAACCATACCCCTAATCTGGGGACAAGGACTGGAATGTATGGGGGCCTGAAAGTCTTCCCTTACTCAGGTCATCCCAGGCCACCAAGCACTAGACTTTGAACACTGTTCTAAGTACTGTATGCTCAGCCTCTGTTAATCCTCACACTAGCCCTATAGAGCATGCTATTATTACCTCCATCTTACAAAGGGAAAACTGAGGTTCAGAAAGAACTCAGCAGCTCTGGAAAGCGGTGACTGACTAGCTAGACAAACAAGTGGGCAAGCTGAGGTCTTGTACTATGCTTGGGATTTTGGTCCCTAGATAGAAGAATGTAAGGGATAAAATCATTGGTTGTCCTTCAGCCAAGATTTCGTAGGCATTAACAGGGGGGAAGGAAAGAGCTTTCATTTCATGAGCTAACAAAAGTTCTCCCTGCTACCTATCTCCTCTCACTCCAAGGGAATTATCTGCTGGAGAAAAGAGGATGAGTCAGAGCTAAGGCCATCAGGTCTGTCTTGGAGGGCAAGGTGTATCAGTACTGGTGAGCAAGCATGTGCAGAAGCCAGCAAGAACAAGCAAAGGCTTAGGACAGGAGCAACGGAGCATTAAAACATAAGAAAAAGGCTAGATGCCAGTGGGTTAGGCCTGTAATCCTAGCTATTCAAGACTCTAAGATCTGAGGAGCTCAGTTTGAAGCCAGTCAGGGTAGAAAAGTCCCTGAGACTATTTCCAATTAACCACCAAAAAGCCAGAAGTGGAGCTATGGCTTCAGTGGTAGAGTACCATCCTTGAGCAAAAAAGCTAAGGGACAGGGCCCACGCTCTGAGTCCAAGCTCCAGTGCCACTAACACCACACACACACACACACACACACACACACACACACACACGCTGTGCAGAGGGGAGGTGTGGGAGGCCTTGGGGCAAAGGCTAGTGCTCTGGGGGTTGCAGGTTGGAGAATGAAGACGCATCCCTCCCTGGGCACACTGTTGGCCTTCTGGATGGAGACAAAGTGCAAGAAGATGTGGGTGACCCAGGAAGAGGATGCTTTATGATGCTGGCTTCTGCAGTCACGATGGCTCAAAACCTGCATGCTTCAGTGTGCATATGTCTACTGAAAACCTATTGTCAGCCGGGCACCGGTGACTCACAGCTGAAATCCTAGCTACTGAGGAGGCTGAAATCTGAGGCTTGCAGTTCAAAGCCAGCCGGGGCAGGAAAGTCTGTGAGACTCTTATCTCCAATATGCGACCAGAAAACCAGAAGTTGTGCTGTGGCTCAAGTGGTAGAGGGCTAGTCTTGAACTGAAGAGCTGAGGAACAGGCCCAGAGTTCAAGCCCCACAACTGACAAAAGAAAAGAAAACCTATGTCAAAGTCTGCACATTCAAGTCCAGCTACCCTGAAAAGTTATCGGAATAGGAACATTCTCCTCAAATACAGAAGCCAGCCCCGCTGAGATGAAGTGTCACCTCCTCCCAGCCCACCCCCAGAGCATTGGCTGGTGGAAGAGAGAGGGTCCTTAGGTCTTCCAACACTTGGCATTTTCTTCAGAGCTTAAGGCCAAGGTTGAGGATCCATCTTTCCCCAAACCTATCTTTTGGGGTTTTAATGTACACCCACTTCTAGGAGGTGTGCCATGCAGAGAGGATCTGTGAGAAGAGGACTGTATTGGCCCTTAGAGGATAGAATAGAGAAGATGGATAAGGCTTTCCTGGTTTGACCTGCTTTCCAGAATCTTCAGTTTCCTGAGGCAGGGGTCAGGGAGTCTGGGTGTCGTTCTGTGTCCCTTCTGGTAACAAAGGGCACTTGCCAAACTTGTACTTGGGTGCCAGGCTCTCCTCCCAGTGTTGCTAGGTTCGTTCTATTACTTGAGTTCCACCTCCAGCCCATGCTGGCATATAGGCTCAACCCGTCTTTGAGACGACTTCAAGGAGAAAATACAATCATGACTCTTGACTTAGCAACAAGGAGAGGGAGGTTCTGAGAAGTAAAGGACTATACCAGGTTCACCCCATAAGGGGTAGAGCTGGGGTCTGAATTTAGGGAACGCTGCCCGGAGGAGCTATTCTGTCTCAGCTATTAACAACAATCAGCACAACTACGTGGAACTGGCACCTGGTGCCTTAAGCCCTCTCAGCAGCGCGGTGACAGGCGTGGATGTTCTCTGACTTTCTCATTTCACAGATGAGTAAATCTGGGTTTAGCAGGGCGCCTGGGGTGAGATGATTTCAGAGTCTCACAGATGCTGGGGCTGCCGATTCCGAAACTCCCATCCTCCTCTGCCTCTGATCCCGAAGTCACTTCAGGAAATCAAACAGGCTTTGAGGCCTCAGTTTCCCAACTCTTCATGCCCTCTCCTGTGCTTGCCAGTGGCACATGGGGAGCGTGATCTTGGGGCGAGGGTGGGGATGGATGGCAACTCTGTATCTCTTAATGGACGGACCCTCCTGCCTCCCCCCTCCCCAACTTCTCCCTCGTTTGCACGTTTGGGTGGGAGGTAGGCGCCAAGAAGCTGGGTGGGGAGAGGCCAGCGTGACGGGGTGGTGAAGGTGGGGACAGCATCAGCCACGTGCTCGGGACAATTGGACCTCGAGGAAAGGAGGCGCGCCCCCGACGTGGGCAGGGGGCGGGGAGGGCGGGCGGGCGGAGGCAGGAGTGCGGGGAGGGGGGGAGAGGCCGAGAGCACACGGACAAAGGAGGCGGCCCCGCAGCCCAGCTGTTTTAAAAAATGCTTCCTGTTTCTTTAAAGGCGCTCGTGGCCCGGGCAGCCGGGGCT